CTTGGGGGTTCTAGGACACCTACCCCCTGGAAATCCACCCCGGATAACCACCCCAGTAAACTAACCGCTATGACAACTCCTAGGGCAACCACACTCTAGGACAACTATTCCCCGGAAAACTACCCCCGGACAACTATTCCCTAGGAAAACTACCCCTGAACAACTACCCTCCAGACAACTACCTCCTACGACAACCATCCTCTAGGACAACTACCCCCGCACAACTTTCCAAGGGATAGTTGCTCAGGGGGTAGTTGTTCTGGGGGTATTTGTCCTAGGGGAACTTTTTCTGTAGGGTAGTTGTCCGGTGGTAGTTGTCCTATGGGAGGAGTTGTCCTGGGGGTAGTTGTCCTAGAGGGTAGTTGTCTGAGAGGTAGCTGTCCTGGGGTAGTTGTACCAGGGGGGGGGGGGGTAGTCGTCCTAGAGGGTGGTTACCCTAGAGGGTACTTGTCCGGGGGTAGTCGTCCTAGAGGCTGGTTGCCCTAGGAGGTAGTTTTCCTAGGGGTAGTTGTCCAGGAGGTAGTTGACTGGGGATGGTTATCCGGGGTGGATGTCCAGGGGGTAGGTGTGTGGATACGTTACTTGGGGTATAGCTTGTTTGATTAAGCAACAATTTTAGGTGATATTTGAAAGAAACCAGCAGACCGCTAGAGGTGCAGATAGGTGCAGATAATTAAAGGGATAGCTGAGTTCTGTTTTCAGACCTCAATTGCCTTCAAAGTGCATGTTTATTGCACTTATTCTTAGCTATGACATTTCTAGTGTCCTTTGAGGACCTAAAATTGCTGTGAAGGTAATTTTAGACCCCAAATGAAGTTAAATTTAGCCAATACGATCATACTTATTCAGCTCCACTTTAAAAAAATACGGTGGCCGTTAATTAATTAATTAACAATACATGGGCAGGCTGGTTGGGCTTAATATAACCAACACGAAAAAGCTAACAAAAAACGGCTTTTTCAAATTATCGAATACTTGTGGTGGCACCCAAATATTAGAAACCATTACTTTTATGGATACTTTAGCCGTCTCTGAACCAATTTTGATCAAACGAAGATGATTTTGTCATTTAAATTGTACGTTCTTTCACACACTCAGTTTTTCATTATCTCACGACAAAATATTGTGTGTAGCGCCCTCTGCATCAGAACTCAACCATCCCTTTAACTCTTATCATGCCACAGGGCTAATCCCCATTGTGCCAAGCCCCAAATCCCCCAGTGCCAGGTTGTTTTTGAGATAATCTGTTTAACTCGAGTGCAAAATACACAGCACAGTCCAATGAGCATGAACAATAACTGCTATTACGAATGCTGCATTGCACGCAAATGGCACTCAAGCGGTAGCTCTCTCGCATGGACAAAGCAGTATAACGATAGCGTGCATGCAGCCTTATGGCAGGCTATGAGTTAATGTGTGATCTACCGGCCAGCTGCACTACCCACGTATTATATGTCCCCTTCTTCTCAGGTGTAGATGGAATCAGGCAATACAGGGGTGATAGTTAGGAATTGCAATATGGGTAGCATTAATACTGATGTGCGAATTGTTATTTCAGTATCATTATTAGTAAGTTTTCGGCTGTACATATCACCGACGTCACCAGATTGGTTAAAAGTATAGACCATGCAGTTCTGGTCATGCGATTACATTGTGAAAGAAACGTTGTGGAAACGACCAGAAAAGGTCTAGCATATAAGTATTAGTGCGTACTGCAAGGTTCTGGAATCATCAAAATGATAAGAAATTTGGCCAAGTCTTGGTAAATTTATAAGCACTGCACACGGAAAAATGTATTTGGGACTACACGATATCTATCCAGGCCAGATCGATATGATAATTTACCAAATATATCAATATAGTAGGCGGTTGCCCGGTACAAATTTGTACGATCACGTATTGGTCAAAACATATTCTTTCACATGATTGGTAATATTAAGCTTCCATTAAATTTTTTGAGAGGGGGGCGTTTCCAAAACTGGTTATACCTTTAAACTATTCTCGTCGGGCACCTGCAAGAAGGCAGTAAGAGCTGTATTATCAACGTCAAGAGCGGATTTATTGCGGCCGGGTAGTCACGATTTGTATCAGTATGGTTTGTTTGCCTAGAATGATAATTTGCCCTGAACTTTGTAGCATTATCACTTTACAAGAGCATAAAGATAATACAGAGATTATCCGTCTGGTACCTTTCCATCATGTTTCAAAAGGGGCCAGAACAACACGTAGCAGCACAATTCTGAATATAGCATCAGTAGACAGGACATTAGTTACACTTTACCATGATATATGATTCAAGGTGACTTACGTTGTACAATTTTAATCATAATCTAACAAAGTTTGGTACACTTTTGTTCTTCTTCATACTGTATAGGTTAGGTAAACAGTATATTTTCAAGTGTCTGTGTAGCCGGCGTTATAAAGCCTCCTCTCAGTCTCTTTTGTAAAGTTCTTGTGTCGTTTGAATCTCTTGAACAAATTCATCCATAATGTCAATCGGGCAGGCATATTTAGTTTTTATATTAGTGGTATGTAACTTCCCCTCGGCAAATGCCCACAAAAAATGCATTCTTTCATGCAATAACTCCACATTACCTTTCCTTTCCTCGTGATGCTACAGCACGTCTGACATAGCAACTCCTATGTTGGTATTGAATTATCTATTTTATACAGGTGGTCAGCTCTGGTGAAGCTACTACATAAGACTGTCTCGTGTTAGCTCACCAATGATTGACAGATGATGTCACAAGATGAATGAGATCTGGGGCATTGTTTTAGGGTGAAGCTTAGCAGATTAAAGAATCTATTAAATATATTTAGATGTTTGAATGAAGAAAATATGAGTTGTATGCAGCTCTGCACATCAACAGAAATCGACTTAAATTTGGATGTCATCCGACCTTCAAAAGGCCTAGAATATCTTTAAGCGGTATATAGATAGGTATATCCAATTTGATATCGCCTGATAGAGTTCGAAATTGTAAATCTATGGTAACTCTGCTTCTATGCTTGGGGCCCCTCCCCGCTTCTATCAAAACTATATGTTTGAAATCTCCCAACTATCTCTTTAAGGTGCTAGCTAGTCTGATCGTAATTTCTGGGGCACACCATAATATGATAAAAAATAAAAGAAAATCTTAGTTTGCCTTGAATCAAGGCCTCTTTTCAATTGCCCTTTGAGTTTCTTTTAAAAGTGGTTATGATTTCGTTTAAGTATTGCACGCTAAAATTAATATGGCATGTTTACTTGGGGCATAACTTGTTTGAATTGTACAGACTTTGGATTCTTATCAAATACAAATAGTGATGAACTGATAACTGTATACACCACCACCATAAAGTTAAGTACTTTACATCTGTCTCATACGTTATCATTTAATATAGATACGAATGAAAGAGATTTATCAGGGGTATTTTAGCCACACCTCGATTGTATATTTTTCTTAATCCATAAAGCTGTTATGTAAACAAGAACACCAAACTCTGTCAGGTCTATAAGGTTCTTGATAAGATATCAGGTTGATAGGAATGGAATACGTTATGAAAATATCACATGGTAGGTCACATGACTGTATTTCACACATCACTACGTACAATTCAAACAGCTTGCTTAGTTCGGCGATTGGAAACAACGACATGCAGGCCTTGGATTGGAGTTGGGATATTTCAGTTAAATCCGACGCTCCTTTTTAAAACATATCTAACTCGGTCTAACTCGGTCTAACTCAGTCTAATTCGGTTTAACTGAAAAAGGATAAAACACGACTTTGGATTCAACGTTGGGTTTAAATTTTTAGCAGAAACGGGCCAATACATGTTTGCTATTGTGTCTTAGTTTTCTCTAAATTTGTGCGACTCATATTAGTTTGTCCTCATGTCAAAAGAGGTCAAGCTAAAGCGGTCTCTAATTACTCGGAGTCGACAGGAAATCAGATGTTTGTCTACAAAGTTGTTATTACGTTAGCATATAGGTGTACGAGACCGTGGATGGCTTTCTGATATGAAGAAATGGACTCCAAAGCGGATGAATACCGTTTTGAAGTGATTCATAGGAGGGAGAGCCTTATTGAACTTGAACGTCACCGGATAGGATAAACGCCCTTTTGAAGCGATAGGAGTGAGAGAGCCCTACTGAACTTATACGTCACCGGATAGGATTAACGACCTTTCGAAGCGATATGTGTGTGTGTGTGTGTGTGTGTGTGTGTGTGCAATTAGGTTTTTACAGACGTATATCAATCAGATAATGATTATTTACGTCTGGGGACCGACTTTTAACGTCACCATCCGAAAGACGTGACTCAGTTTCGAACCTGCGTCCTCGGCTGAAACAGTTTGTAACTGCCATTGTTAGCTGGATTACAGCGCACGCCACAAATACTTACTGAATACCTAAAGGATAAAAGCCCTTGTACGTGTATGTCACCTGATAGAAAAATTGCCCTTTGAAGTGATAGGAGAGAGAGCCGGACTAAACTTGTACGTCATCGGATAGGATTAACGCCCCTTTGAAGCGATAGGAGGGAGAGAGAGTCTTACTGAATGTCTTCCGATATGATATACACCTTTTCAGAAACGCAATAAAATGTAGCAAAATCAAGACGATCAATGATGAAGATGATCACATTCAGATAAGGCGTATGATTTATGTCTTCAATGATTTCAAGACATGTAAATCATTTTAATCAGTAATTCGAAGGTGCAAGAAGAAAGACTGTGTATGTATATATTCATTGCTATTTTTCGATTTTGTACTAAATCATCTCTTTAATCAGCAGTAGTATGATTCATATATCATCCTACGTTGTCCTGTCTCTTTAAAATGTTAAATGCTGAATTCCCCTGTCAAACTTTCTTCCCGATATTTTGTATATATTATATATATATATATATATATATATATATACTAAATTAAAGTACATGATGTAGACCTTCTAAAAACGAGAGAGAATACATTTACCGAGAGACAATACACATGCCAGAGAGAAAACAGAATTAAAATGGCGCTTTGTACAGCGGTTACAAAAGGAGATCTTGTAAAGACAAGGGCTATTCTAGAAGACGAGACAGGTGATACCAAGCTGGTCATGCTAAACAGTGTGGAGCCTGATGGAAAAACAGCACTCCACATAGCTTCAGAAGAAGGGCATATCGACCTCGTGAAATATATAATTGATTCCGGGGCGGATCTAGAAAATCGAAGTAGAAGCGGTGACACCCCTCTTCACTATGCGTCTCGGAGAGGTCACAAGACTGTTGCTCAATATCTCATCAGTAAAGGAGCAGATATCAATATCGCTGATAACAATGGCTATTCACCTCTCTATCTTGCTTCGGATGAGGGTCATTTTGATGTTGCTGGATGTTTATTGAAATCTGGAGCAGATATAAACAAAGCTTCATATGATCGTTCTACACCCCTTTATTCTTCAGCAAGTAAGGGTAATGTTGATGTAGTGAAATATCTCATAACTAAAGGAGCCGATCTTGAAAAGAAAGGACCTAAGAGTCAAACTCCACTTTGCGTTGCGTCACTGAATGGTCATCTTGAGGTTGTGAAGTATCTTATTAGCCAGGGGGCAAAGCTTGATACTGGCGATGAAGATGGCCACGCACCTCTCTATACCGCATCAAAGGAGGGACATCTGTTCATTGCTGAATGTCTGGTAGATGCAGGAGCAGATGTAAACCAATTAACATTTGAGTCACCGCTTCATGCTGCATCAGAAAATGGACATCTAGACGTTGTGAAATACCTCATCGCTAAAGGAGCAGAAATTGACAAAGATGGTAACGATGGCTTTACACCTCTATTTCTCGCCTCACTCGAGGGTCATCTTGATGTTGTTGAATGTCTGGTAAATGCAGGAGCAGATGTCAAACAATCTAACCGCGAGACAATGTCACCACTTCATGCTGCATCAGAAAATGGTAGTCTGGACGTTGTGAAATATCTTATCAATAAAGGAACAGAAATTGACAAAGATGGCGACGATGGCTATACACCTCTGCATTTCGCCGCACTAGAAGGTCATCTTACTGTTGTTGAATGCCTGGTAGATGCAGGAGCAGATATCAATAGAGCATCTCATGATGGTTACACTTCACTGATAACCGCATTGATATATGGACATCACGGCATTGCGGAGTTTCTCATGACTAAGGTGGCAGAACTTGGCAACAGATATGACGTCGTTTTAGTTGCACTTTGCAAAGCAAGCTCCCAGGGCTACCTCGATGCTGTAAGGTACATCATAACTAAAGGGGTAAACCTCGAATTGGAAGATAGAGATGGTTTCACACCACTATATCACGCGTCAGAGAATGGACATCTTGAGGTTGTTGAATGTCTAGTGAATGCAGGAGCCGATGTGAACAAAGCATCATCATATGATGGCGTGACACCTATCTACGCCGCTTCCCAAGGAGGCCATCTCGAGGTAGTTGAATGGCTCGTGAATAAAGGAGCTGATGTGAACAACGCATCATCATTTGATGGCGGAAGACCCCTCTACGCCGCTTCACAAGGAGGCCATCTCGAGGTAGTTAAATGTCTCGTTAATAAAGGAGCTGATGTGAACAAAGCATCATTATATGATGGCAGACCACCCCTCTACACCGCTTCACAAGGAGGCCATCTCGAGGTAGTTGAATGCCTCGTGAATAAAGGAGCTGATGTGAACAAAGCATCATATGGCGTAACACCCCTCCACGCCGCTTCACAAGGAGGCCATCTCGAGGTAGTTAAATGTCTCGTTAATAGCGGAGCTGATGTGAACAACGCAGCATCATATGATGGCGAAACACCCCTCTACGCCGCTTCACAAGGAGGCCATCTCGAGGTAGTTGAATGCCTCGTGAATAAAGGAGCTGATGTGAACAAAGCATCATATGGTGTAACACCCCTCTACGCCGCTTCACAAGGAGGCCATCTCGAGGTAGTTGAATGTCTCGTTAATAACGGAGCTGATGTAAACAACATTTCAGCATATAATGGTACACCATTGCATGGAGCAACGCATGGACGATATGTTCACATTGTAAACTACCTCATCTCAAAAGGTGCAGACCCCAATAGTGTTGATGGCAATGACTCTTCACCTCTTCACATTGCTTCACAGACAAGACTTGATATTGTTGAGTGTCTCGTAAATGCAGGGGCAGATGTAAACAGATTAACACGCGATGGTTATGCACCGCTAGGTACAGCCGTGCGTTATAATAAGCAAGATATAGCTGAATTTCTAATGTCTAAGGAAGCGGATCTAGGAAATACTTATACTGTTGAAACAATCCTTCGGAATTCATCCACCGAGGGTCATCTCAATGTTGTAAAACATATCATACATAAAGGAGTGGATGTTAATACTGTTGACGAAGATGGTTTCACATCCCTTCATCACGCATCACAGAACGGATATCTTGATATTGTTGAATGTATAGTGCATGCAGGAGCAAATGTGAACATAGCAGCAAAGAATGGTTACACACCTTTATATGAGGCATCTCACAAAGGTCATCTAGACATTGTACAATATCTTGTTTCTCAAGGAGCGAACACAAATTCTGTTGATGATGAAGGCTACACACCTCTATACGTTGCTTGTCAAGAGGGTCATCTTGATGCTGCTAAATATCTAGTGCATGCAGGGGCTGATGTGAACAAAGAAGCAAAGAATGGTGATACACCTTTGTATAGAGCATCTCATAAAGGTCATCTAGATATCGTAGAATATCTCATTTCTCAACGAGCGAACCTGAATTCTGTTGATGACGAGGGCTATACACCTCTCTCTGTTGCTTCACAAGAGGGTCATCTGGATGTTGCTAAATGTCTAGTGAATGCAGGAGCTGATGTGAACAAAGCAGCAAAGAATGGTTCTACCCCTTTGTTTGCAGCATCTTATAAAGGTCATCTAGACATAGTGAAGTATCTGATTAACAAAGGAGCAGCTATTGATAAACGAGGTTATGGCGGTCAGACGCCTCTTCGTGGCGCATCATTCTATGGCCATCTTGGAGTTGTCACGTATCTTATCAGTCAAAGGGCAGATAAAGACATGGGTGATAATGATGGCTTTACACCTCTTTCTGTGGCTTCGCAAAAGGGTCATCTGGATGTTGCTAAATGTCTTGTGCATGCAGGAGCTGAAGTAAACAAAGCAGCAGAGAGGGGTTTTACACCCTTGTATGCAGCATCTAGTAACGGTCATCTAGACATAGTGGAGTATCTGATTAACAAAGGAGGAGCTATTGATAGGAGAGGTAACGGTCAGACGCCTCTTCGTGTCGCATCAAAAAATGGCCATCTTGGGGTTGTCAAGTATCTTATCAGTCAAAGGGCAGACAAAGAAATGGGTGATAACAATGGCTATACACCTTTATATGTTGCTTCAGAAAATGGTCATATGTATGTTGCTAAATGTCTAGTACATGCAGGAGCTGATGTGAACAAACCAGCAAGTGATGGTGATCTATCCCTCCTCGCTGCTTCTCGTGGGGGCTATCTTGACATTATGAAATATCTCGTTACAAAAGGAGCTGCCATCGAGTCACGTAATAATTACGGTTGGACAGTTTTCCATTATGCAGCAGATAATGGCCACTTGGAATCTTTGGAATATTTCTTGAGAAACAACACTAGCGGTACTTTGGGAAACAGCCACGACGTTCTCAAAAGACTTCAGGTAGGGTACTCAGTTCAAACCGATTTTTAACAAACTGTCGGGTCGTGGTTCGGCGCGCTGGCCGAAATGGTGCGTTCAATCGAATTTTCGAAGCTAGAATCACAAACATGAATCACAATTCAAAACGCCGTTACAAAAAGCAAGGTCACTGCGGTTTGCGTTCAAGCGATTTTTCATCAACGCTGATTCTAGCTCATTGCGAGCCAAACCACTGCGCATCACACTGCGCAGTATGGCCCAGGAACTTCGGCGTGCGCTTTCTGGAATTGTTTACGGCCGACTGTCGACTGCTGTTTTGAGCATAGATCGCAATAATAAGACAAAGAATGAGAAGGTGATAGAAGGAAGAAACAAAGAATAACATAAGGAAAGACAGAAAGATAAAGTCGATAGAATGATTAAAACAAAGAATAACATAAGAGAAGGTGAAAGAAGGAAGAATCGAAGAATAACATAAGGAAAGACAGAAAGACAGAAAGAGAGAGTGATAGAATGCTTAAAACAAAGAATAACATAAAAGGTGATAGAAGGAAAAAACAAAGCATAACATAAGAATAGAAGGAAGAAACAAAGAATAACAAAAGAGAAGGTAATAGAAGGAAAAAAACAAAGAATAACATAAAAATAGAAGGAAGAAACAAAGAATAACATAAGGAAAGACAGAAAGAGAATGTGAAAAAAGGAAGGAACAAAGAATGACATAAGGAAGAACAGAAAGAGAAAGTGATAGAATGATTAAAACAAAGAATAACATAAGAGAAGGTAAAAGAAGGAAGAATCAAAGAATAACATAAGGAAAGATAGAAAGAGAAAGTAACAGAAAGATTAAAACAAAGAATAACATAAGAGAAGATGATAGAAGGAAGAAACAAAGAATAACATAAAGAAAGACAGAAAGAGAAATTGATAGAATGCTTAAAACAAAGAATTACATAAGAAAAGGTGATAGAAGGAAAAAACAAAGAATAACATAAGTATAGAAGGAAGAAACAAAGAATAACATAAGGAAAGACAGAAAGAGCAAATGATAGAATGATGAAAACAAAGACTAACATAAGAAAAGGTGATAGAAGGAAAAAAACAAAGAATAACATAAGAATAGAAGGAAGAAACAAAGAATAACATAAGGAAAGACAGAAAGAGCAAATGATAGAATGATAAAAACAAAGAAAAGGTGATAGAAGGAAAAAAACAAAGAATAACATAAGAATAGAAGGAAGAAACAAAGAATAACATAAGGAAAGACAGAAAGAAAAAATGATAGAAGGAAAAACAAGGAATAACATAACGGAACAGGCCACGATGGTATAGTGAACGCAAATTGCATGCAAAGCGGGCGCGCGGTTTTTCCCAAACCGGAAGAGGCTTCGTCATACAATCATGATTGAGAACTCCGTCCGTTCAATCGAATTTTAGCGCCCGTGATTCTTTTGAATCATGATACAAAACGCATCTTTTTCAGCGTTTCATGTTTGTGTTTTCAAACACGTTTATTTTTACGACCGACGAAAAAATCGCTTGAACGCATTGCGTTTTAAACTAAACGTCTTTAGAAACCGTGATTCTAGGGTGAAAAAGTGTCGATTAAACGCTCTGTTTTGGCTTAATGGCGATTAGTCAGCTGTGACTATTGTCACCAATATCTCATTACAAAAGGAGTGTATGGTGTGTTCAAGTGGGCTGTATAACGGGGGAAATTAAAGACGGGTCACTTGTGTTGAGTTACCCGATATCAGGCTTTGAGATATACGAGTAAAGATTGAAAGCATACAAAGAAAGAATGAAGTTGAAAGTTCCGAAAATATTGAACATTTGTTGATTTAACCTTTCCCACACAATTTTAGAAAATTAGGTACTGTTCTCCCTTGCTCAATATTTTCAAAAAGGCCTATCAATAAGACATAAATGTAGCCGCGGACAACTACCGCCGGAAGTATTTGTCCAAAAGATAATCGTCTTGGGTTAGTCGTCCGGAAATGGCTGCAGTCTTATAGGCCCATAAGTCTAAATAGCATGCCTACGTTCGAGTTATACATTTGATGTCAAATGATTGGGAAGAAATTGGGTAAATAAGAATATTGATAAAAAGTCGTGCAGGAACAAATAGTGGTGTTATAAATTAAGCATTTATTTGAAAATATGTAGTCAAGGAGAATAATGAATACGTTTCTAAAATTGAGTTGGATAAGCTTTCAACTTGTTATCTTTCAATCGTTCATTGATATGCTTTAAATCTTCACTTGAGTATCTCAAAGTCTGATATTAGGAAATCGTTCTGAGAGGGACAAGTTTTAATTTCTTCCCTTGACACAATACACGAAAGCGTAAACAAGACGAAAGCAAAAGACCAGCAAGGAAACAGAAAATCCGATTCATACGAGGATATTTTACAGCGTTCAGAGTTGTGCGAAATTCAAACTGTTCAATGGGATGTTATTAGTGACCCACCCTCTTATTCTGCACAGAGCTTCATAAATCTCATTATAACGAAATAATTGTTGATTACCTGCAGTGCGGGAAATATCGGTAGCATGAAATATCATCGCTGAATACTTATGATAAGATTTAAACCTTAATGACGAATAAGTAAATTTTAAAAAGTCAAATATATTTTTCTATCAACACAATAATGATCCAGCATTCCATATTCTTCCTGATTGGCTCTTATCTAGGGAAAACTGTATTCATCAATGAAACTAGAGTAGGACTACAAGTATACTATGGTAGGCCTACTTAAAAATGAAGGAAGCGTACCGATATCATTTACCTTACAGACCTTAACAGGTGTCACGCCACTTATGGTTGCCGCAAGAGGGGGACATCTGGATTGCGTACGTCTGCTGCTCGAATTCAATGCAGATATTGAGACAAAGGATGCAGAAGGATGGACAGCCCTCCATTATGCTGCATCAAGGTGAACTGATTATACAACACTTTGCATACTTTTAATGTACTAATTATTTTCCTCCGGTATTGTATCACAAAATACTTTTACGATTTAATTGTATTGTTGTTACAATTGACAAAAACATTCATCTTTTATCAAAGCAAAACAAATATTCTTAGTTTTCTTAAGATAGCGTTTAACATGTTATTTCTTTGGATTCAAACTTTTAACGGTAGGTTTATTAACGGTTCCATAGGACATTTAGATTTGAAAATGAATGATACACCACCAAAAGTTCCGCTACATATACATCACCTTTTATTAAATGAAAGTTATGAAGTTTGATTCTGGAAAAAAAATATGACGCAAAAATAATTTGCCATTTAGGCAACTCTTAAATCAAATATAATGTTTATGATTTCATGTTATTATGAAGTATAAACATAACCATTTTACAATGGTAGTAATTATTTTAAACATAAAGAAGCGGTTTTAGATTCAAAATGTTAATAATATAAGATGATATATATATATATATATATATATATATATATATTCAATAAGGCAAACTAATGGAACATGGTAGCTAGTTTTGCTACTCCGAGTTTTACGGCTTGCGAGTGATCATCATCAAAATTATTTCAAAACGTGAAAATGGGGCGCACCCGTTGATAAATGAGCTCAGTTCAGAAAACAAAAGAAGGATAAGTCCGTTAGAACAAAAATGACGAAACAAAGAGAACACTGGGAGCACGCGAAAGAAAAACGAGGGAGAGTTGCGCGAGATTGAAAAAAACACAGAAAAGAACTAGAAATGCGGGGACACTGAGAGAAGAATGGAAGAAAAGGAGCGCGAGAGAAGAGAAAAGAAAGGAAGAGAGAGAGAAAGAGAGAGAGAGAGAGAGAGAGATAGAGAGAGAGAGAGGAGAACAGGGGGAAGGAAATAAAGAGAAACAACAAAGATTTTCATTTACCTCTCTTGATCAAAACACATTTATACAATATATGAAAGTCCAAAGTTATGAAATAAAAAATGCTCCATCGATAAATACTTAAAAGGAAAACAACAATTGGAATTGTTGTTAATACAATCTAATATGCCTCATGGAATTATGTCGCCCATTAATTTTGTTCCCGTCCTCATGTTTGTCTTTTTTGTTCTTTTTTCTTTGTTGTTGTTGTTGAAACGAAAAAAATTGGGAAAAGACCACCCAACACGCCATATATAGTTATATATATATATATATATATATATATATATAAATAGTAACAATATATACATGTATTCTTGTTTTAATAAAGTGGGAATGACTCAATAATGCGGGATTTACTGGACCAGAAACCAACTCTGAGCATGAAACTTTCTAGAAGAGGCCAATCACCAATAAGTATCGCACTAAACTCTGGCAATGCGGATACGGCACGGATTCTTCTTCATAAGGTACATGTAGCTGTAACTCATTCTGCTTAATATTTTTGTTTAAGTACGACTTCTGTCATATAGTTGATGCATTACCATCAGTACCACCGTCGCCTATACTACCCCTACTAATTCTAATTTTTACTCTTGATCAACAACATTTACTCCGGCCCTATACAGTTTTGCTATTAGGCTTGCTGATGGTGATCCCAAATAGATATTTTCTCTTTTTTTGATGGTTATAACTAGTATCCCAAGTCTATAGTACATGTATATCACATTATTAATGAATTTTCGACAACAATGCATTATCTAATCGCAATCGTTTGTAAATATCTTAATTTGTCATTAATTTCTTTTGTAACACAGCATTTGTATTATTTGGGATCGTTTGTATATGTTATGATTTGATTTCTTAATAAACACATAATTAAAACTAGACATAATACTTGTTTAGAACAAGTATAGGTGGGCTGGTCAACTAAAATTTGAGACAAAATAGAGCAAAAATAAGCGAGATACTGCTAAAAAACAATGTCATTGATGTAATGATGTAAACGAAATTCACCTTCCATAGGCAAAACACGCAACGTAAGAAATTTCTGATATGTGCCCTTTAATCGTAATTTTCACTATGATGAAGTGATCAAAATGAAAAAGGGTGTTGACTGAGCTTGTAGAGAATTGTCTTAGCTACATCATATCGAAATTTGGAAGAAAAGC